TTGAATTCGGGTTAAATAGTCGTTACTTGTAAGCCATTTTGTGAATGCGGGCTTTCTTTTTGTGACAGTCAGTTGAACCTTTCATGTCCACGGCGGCGGACCCACCAGTTTTTAACCACTGCATTCAGCAGTAGTCCCTGGTAAGCCATTGTTAAAGTGCTTCTTTTCGGTTTCGGCATTAGCCGTCATCATAGGGATCTATTCAAACCACCGTGGGATGTTGTTTGTAAGTTTTTTTCCTGTCCGCAAAAGATAATATTTCCTATTTGATTCTCCTGTCCTTTCTGCTACCATGTGTTAGCATGGTATCCCATCTCCTTCTGGACAGCATGCGAATAGCAGTGTGATGATCACTTGATATTTCTGAGCCTCTCTTAACGCGAACACTCATTGTAGAGCATCATAAATCAGATGATGCGATTATCAGATCTGTAATCGACTTCCCTATATCAGATATACTGATGCACGCTTCGGTGCTCAACAACATGTTCATAATAAATGGTCCGCTGTTTGCACAAAACTGCGACATCTTCATGCCGTTATTGTTTGTGACTAGGCCATTCTTTTCTGTCACATTTTTCCACTTATCACTGTCTGCTCCAGCATTTGCATTGATATTACCAATTAGAGTGATGGATTCCGTAATCGGCTCTTCGTGCTGATAACTTTCTACTTTCTATGGCATGGAATCATATTCTCTGTCTGATTCAGGCACATAGACCTCTAACAAGGTCAGCGCTTTAGTCCGTTGTAGCTTCAGTCAGAGGATTGCCACCCTTCCGCTGACAGGCTTCCAATCAGTGATTCTGTCAGCGAAGTTGGGTTCTACCAGAACACGAACACCAGCCTAAGTGCGCCGTGACGTCGACACCTGAGTCGAATAGCTTACACGTTTAAAATTCCAGATCCCTGGCTCTTCTTTGGTGAGAATCCAACTGTGTCGAATTGGTACCTTGCGGCCCTATCAGTTAGCTGCTGCTCTTTCCCTCTGAATAAAGATATGTTCGAATTTCCGACTGTAGGCTGCCATTGAGGGGTCTTTCCCTTGGAGCCTTTTTTGAGGTACTATAATGACTATCGTTCTCTCTGTCTCTGTTCAGAACGATAGTGGCTCCTTTGCTGATTGGTATTTTGGTCATAGTTTTGTCGATCTTCAGCTGCTGTTGTCATGCTGCTACACTCCCCGCTGCCAGATGGCGAGAAGTAAGTTCTTATCAGTTGCTTTTCGTATTTTCCTTTGATTTCCGTACATCCTGCGCAGCCACTGGTGACTTCAGTCACGGCATATTCGGTATGTTTAATAATGGGAGTACCCTTAGGGGTATGTGGCTAAATGTTAAGGGAGACATGGCCACGATTTCAAATCCTCGTCCTTTGTCATGAAAGCTTGTAACCGGCTGCGGTGGAGATGATGTATTTAGTAGTAATTAAAGTTTAGTTTATCCAGAATCTGTCCTCATTCTCGTATTGCATCGCTCATTCCTAACGGTTTCTTGGTGAGCCGTTACAGGAAATGGATACATGTCGTATAATATTATTATTATTGGATGGAGCTACTTCACGAACGATTGTTCCTCATGAACGATGTTTGAGAAGCTGATACTTTTTATATGCTACCTCATAAAAATATCTGTTCGTCCGTCAGTGTCTTAACTGCTTGTCTGTTACTAATTGAAAGAATGAATGTTTCACCGGTACTGTAGCAGTTAAAATACAATAATCTGTTTATATGGTCTCATCGATGATTTCATCAAGGAGAAATGCAATAACAAGTGAAGTCGATCTTGTTCAAGGGGAATTTAGTGATTACTGACACACTCCAGCGTATGAACCGGTATATTTTTAAAATGTATTTATCGAGATGTCCATTCTGTATATAAGCAAGAAGATATATAACTTAGCTATAAGGGTATGGAGATAGGTTTAGAAGACAGGACTACACGCGCACACGACACAATCCGTTACCGACGTACTTACTGGAGCACCACGGTAATTGGAAGATTTGGAATGCCGCGAATTTGAGATATATTAGGGCAGCTTTACTTCATGTTTGCAGCATTTATCCTGAACTAAACTGCCGCTTTGATCTGGCATCAATCCATTTTAAAAAAGTGCACAAAGTTCAGAAAGGTTAGTACATGATAACGCAACGGAGATTACTCATACTCATGATTATCATGTACAACGTGAAATCGTGTTTTTTGAAATATTGTGCAGCTCTTTTCATATACGAAGTATCTTCAGAGGGCAGTGGTATAACCATCAGCAGTCTTGAAATACTGTTAAGAACTCATTTATTGATGCCTGATTTGGCCAGGTAAAAACGACCTGCAAATATTTTTGGAATTTTTGTTTCATTGGATGAACCGAGAATAGCTCAATATTTTGACAGTTGCAAGTGCTCATCTTAGCTTAAATAATATGAGTTTTAAATGCTTGTATAAAATTGAAAGATAGACAAGTTGAGTGACTGAAAATGATATTTCTCTTAAACACTGATAATAAAATTCAAACCGATCGTCTCAATCACAGTGCAAAAATGATGCTCCCATTAATGCTACTGTATGAAAATAACTTTCACCGTGAGTACTGATGTATTCGCTGCATGTTAGTAAGATCGATGATTTTTTAGGCCTTTTGAACCTGCTTAAAGTGGCTTGCAACATTCCCGAACAGTACTGTCTTCCAGTTACCAAGGAAACACCGGAGCATTTAGCGGTGTGTCTCGCAAGACTTTACGACGACATGATGTTTGATAAATATCGATCGATATACAAGGAAATAACCGGCAGTTTTTTACAGTAGTGCTTTATTGACATTTTCTTATGTAAGTTATATTATTGACATTCAGGCTGAAAATGCAAGATCAGAACGATGTTTCCAAAATTGAAATCTGTGCTTTAATTACCGTATTGCTGTTGGTAATACAATGTTACGGTATGAATGCGGCAGAATTCACTAACCAGTTTCTTTTATAGGGGCCTTATGATGTGGGATTTGCTTTGATCAGCACGCCAGAAATGTGTTCATTGATGTTGGACATGGCTCAGTCTGATATTTTTCTGCATCAGGTAGTTGTCTAATTTTAAGCTGCTCAACTTCTGGCTGAAAAGTTGCATCATTTAATCCTGCTGATGAACATAGTGCACATCTAATAAATTTCAGTGACAAAATACAATCTTAAAAAGGGAAATATGCACTCAAATATCAGACAAAGACAGTGCTACTACACCAGATTTCCGAAACTTTATCGTCGAAGTAATAAGGAATGTTTCCGCGTTTGCTGTCTCTAATCAAGCGCCGGATTTTCTACCCGTTATTTGTCATTTTCAGTATCGATAGTATGATGAAAACATTACAGCAGTCTTTCTTAAAAATCTGTTTCCCAATTTTTTCGACCCCGTTTGCAGTCCATGCGCTGTTCCATAATAAATTGCCTTAAATTGAATAAAGGATTCTGTCATTCCCGCTTTACACTGCCTCTTTAACCGTCTGTTTCGGGTTCATAACAGATCGGTTCTTAACCATGAATTAACCGACCATATACAGTTGTTACAATTTCTGCTGTCTACGGACCCAGAAGCGAAGACGAAGATCTTCTTTGTTCTTTGCCATTCTGCAAACCTTGTTTGCGGTATGCAATTTAGAAGTAATTTTTTGGCAATGGCATGAAAGCATGGTATATTTACACAAACACAAACAGTATGATCAGTAAGATGATTGGCCAGTATTGATATTGGAGTCCGTGTCTTAAAGTTAGAATTTGGTTGAATTTCGGACGTTTATCTATTTGTCTGCAGTAGTTAGTACGCTCGAATCCATATGGAGAACTTTAGACCCATGCTGCTGGTTAAATAGTTTTTCAAACTATAGTCAAGACCAACCTCTTCCAATCCGCGCGAAGTTCATATCCTTTGTCACGGCTGACAGTGTCACAAGTTTGGATGATTAATGTTTCTTTCGCACGCCACCGGTACCTTTCTTCGATGATGCCGGTTCACTCTGAATATCGGACGGGCGAGGGCGTTCTGCACAATTCCAGATAACAGCGACAGTGTTCCTTGACTTTGCTGGACGAGGCTTTTTTGTACAATGTGCTTTTTTACCATGTTCTTCGGCGATAATCCGTCTTCTCCAACTTTACAAGTGGATCTTTGTGCGTTGAGTGGCGATGTTACTTATGATACCCATGTGATATCTTTCGCAGTCATGTAATTTGTAAACCAAGCTTTATTATTCTAAGATTTATCCAATAAAATTTTAAGTTTATTGAAATTTATAATTACGCTAATATTACATTTTGTTTTCCGTAATCATTCTAACTTTTTACAAAAGTTTTCATAATAAGGGGTATTTAAGTGTAATATATGGAGTTGCATAAGACTATTTTTTGTATGATCACACCTTTCATTCCTTGCAGTTTCGAACGGTCTTCCTTGAAATACGACCTTTCCCTCTGTTAAAGTGGAAGACCGAGCAGCCTAACTGCCCACGATCGTTTTCTTTCAGTAAGCCGAACAGTATTCCTGGCCCACAGTAGGTTCGCCTTTTTGCTTTTGCCGATAACGTTCTTCATTCACTTCCGCTATGTGATCAGCCTATTGAAGATTGTGGTGCGACGTGTGATCCCCATCAATTTTCTTTTCATGGCTCTCTCTCCTCTCTCGATAACAGATACCTTGCATTATATGGCTTTCGTAAGTGACAACGTTTCACAGCCATAAACATCTCTGGCAAGTTAACAAATCTGAAGTGGTTGGCGCGGGTATCTGAGGTATGGCTCCTTTGGAAGCACTCTCTTACGTTTCTCTCTCCGACCCAAAAGGAGCAGCGGTCATGGAAGATGAAGACGAAGAAGATGGCACAGGTATCTTTCCTAATGTTGCATAGGAGGACCTCCTGCATGGAATGAAGCCCTCGTCAATTTGGTCATCTTTCGCCATTAAATCTCTCCAGCCTGATAATGCCGATTGTTGATATCTTGGCCCAGGTAAATTCATTTTTATGACTTTTGTCATTTTTTCTATTTAACCTTACCTAGGCCTTCAGCAGGGCATCCCGTTGCAGCATCTTTGTCTTTAACCGATTAATTCGCAGTTGGACTTCTATACTTTTTCCGTCGAGCTGTTGAAGCGTGTCTTCTAACTGTCTGAAGTTTTCGGCAAACAACTCCATGTCTTCAGCGAATCTTGGCTGAGCTGTTCGACATTTATGTTAATCCCACCCTTCCAGTTTATGCTTTCAAGCCAGTTTCTGAACAGGCAATGTAGAGTTTGGCGGAGAGAATGTCCTCCTGTTTTAAGCCCTTCTCTACGTGATTCCTGAGGGAAAAGGGTAGTGGTGTCGAACAGCTCTATGTTTGGGAAGAGGTCAGAATTTTCATCCTTTAGCAAGTAGATATAACGAATCTCGATGTCCTGTTTTG